CCCACTTTTTTCGTCTGACTATGTTCGCAGGTCTTAATAAGGGCTTCCATCTAGCTGCTCTGCAACGATAACCCAATCTGTGGAGAATCCGTTAAACATATTTCGGGATCATCCCACCAACTTTGGCCACTTCGGCAGTCGTTAACCTGGGACCCATTTCGATGCTCCTCTTGACAGTCCTTTTTGTCCTCTCCGATGGACCAGGACGACCAGACGCTGCTCAGTTGTTTCCTTGCCGTGTTTCCTGAACTGCACGATGATTCTGTTGACTGTCGAAAGCGGGATTCCCAAATTCTGCGAAATCTGCCGCTGACTGATTCCACCATCTGCTTGACCAACTATCCTTCCTCTAACAAAATCTGACAATTCGAGAGAACCTTCAGTTCTAGGTATGTTGTAGCACAAGATAATTAGTGTGCGGACCATTTTCATTTATATAGTGCTCTGTGAACATAATTAGCATAAATCAGTTAAATGACGAAAAATTAGGTGTCTATTTACTTGTGACCACTCAGTGTACATGTGTGAGTGTGTGTAATGTATAAAAAAATGTGCCAAATAATCTTTAAAATGACAAAGTCAGAATTGCATAACAGCATTTTCGTGATGTACCTAGATTATTGAAAAATAAAATATTACAAAGTAGCTTTTTTTTAGAAATATTTAAAGAAATATGACGACATCCAGATAGAACAATACAGGGGGTATACCAGGTACATACAACAAATTCTGTTTCTCACAAGATCGAATGGGGCAGTTGTACGAAAACCTACACCAAACATTTATATTTCAAAGTGTATTAAATGTGAATTTTGATCACAGAAATGGAAATACGTAGATAAAATACCTTTTTAAGACACCATTACAATTATTGAATTTTCAAACTTAAAATGCATATCGTAAATCTTACTTTAAAAAAAAAACAACTACCATAATCAATTTCTATACAAATAACAAGAGTAAAACAGGATGGGTTTGTTTGTATTATCGCAAAGCCAGAGCAATATTCAATGTCTTCGTAAAATGTTTTCTGTAAAAGTGTAAAAAGGTATTAAGTTTGTTTGTTTGGATTTCGCGTCCCTAATTTAGTAGTGTAAGACTAGAGGGAAGGCATCTAGTCATCACCACCCACCGCCAACTCTTGGGCTACTCTCTTACCAACGAATAGTGGAATTGACCGTCACATTATAACGCCCCCACGGCGAGCATGTTTGGTGGGGCGGGGATTCGATCCCGCGACCCGTAGATTGCGAGTCGAACGCCCTAACCATCTGGCCATGCCGGGCCCAGGTATTAAGTATTAATTGGACACTTCTGCTGCGCAGAGAAAAATACAATATTTTCTCATATCTTTATATTTCGAGCACAGCAGAGCGTCCATTTTTGTATATTCAGTCTACAATATCTTCGAGCTCGTGTAAAGAAGGTATTAAGTCTTAATTGGACACTTCTGCTGCGCAGAGAAAAATACAATATTTTCTCATATCTTTATATTTCGAGCACAGCAGAGCGTCCATTTTTGTATATTCAGTCTACAATATCTTCGAGCTCGTGTAAAGAAGGTATTAAGTCTTAATTGGACACTTCTGCTGCGCGGGGACAACTACCACATTTTCTCATTCCTTTACACCTTGAGCAGAACAGCGTGGTCTTTTTTTTTTTTTCTAATTGAGTTTACAATATCTTTGAGCTCGTGTTTAGCTCATGAAGTGTTTAATGGCGCCGCTTTTCGAAACGTCTCGTTAGAATTCAGTTCTCTTGACTATCTCAATGACCGTCTTACGATTCATCTAATTTATTTTAAGACGGGTAAGCAGGCTTGGAGTTGGAATCGCTCCCTCTTCTTTGTGACACAACAGGAAATTAACTATGAAAGGGAGGAAGGCGAGTTACTTCCGCCTGCACGAGGACGACGTTTCTATTAAGAAGTGGGTCGCATCCATCATAATCAGGGTTTTTCCGATGAAGCTCATAAGAACGCCGCGGTACTGCTGATAAATACCAGTGCAAACAATCCTTCTCCTGCGTCTCCGACTTATCCACTCTTCTCCGCTGACGGTTTCAATAGTCTTTTCCAAACTATCGACATATTCCAATGACAGATCAACAAAAACATAACTCCGTCTCTGCCGTTTGTGGGACAACAACCTTTGTGAAAAATGTAAAAGCAATGAGATAGACAAGCTCTTCTGATATCCAGGAACAAAGCGAGTTTCAGAACTACTTTAAGAAAACAAGAACATTTTACTTTGCTATTAAATACGTTGTAAAGACAAACAACAATTTTTTTTCGTACCTGCAAAAAATTATAATAATTACAAACTCCGACCTATATTTTTAATGGAATATGTGACATAATCCATCATAAACGTAAACAAATGCGTTCGAAAAATTCTTCGATTTTCTAAATAAATTAGAAAGTATTTCGAAAAAATCTGTAGTCGTTAATGTACATTTCTTAAAACCGGAGGAAAGCGTATGTTTTTATTCCTCGCAGCTACTCACAATATTTTTTTTTCTTCTTTCAAATCGTGTAGATATGTGCTAAGAAAATAACAACCGTCTTAATAGAAATATTTATGCATACGGCTAAGAATATTAACCATTAGTTATTTTTTGGCCAAAATTATTTCGAACGATAAACATTTTATACGAATAATTACGCGCCAGTCGATGAATATAAATGTTCTTATATTCTGTTAGCATTTACTTTAGTAATCCATAAATGCACAACAAATTACGTCTTCTTTTGGAATGAATATTAGCCGTAGCGAATGCAGAGAAGGCCTAACGTGTATACTCTTTAGTTTGCAACGCCTGTCACGCGATAAAGCTTAATAATTCAAACTAATTTTGTAAACTTAACATTGACATTTGATACAATAAGTTTTGGAAACCCGAGTGATATGATGCATTTAGCAGCCACATTTCTATACATTAGGCTATCTCACAAACCTAATCACAAAAATTCTATTTAGGCCTAAGTGTAATACACAAAGAAAAACGACAACAAATAATCACAAAAATATCACTGAAACCTGGAGTTCAACTTATAATTAGTGTCTATGCCAAACGGGTACATGAAATAAATGTGTTTGCAAGTGATTTTCGATTTTTGGATGATAATCACAACGGATCTGAAGCATTGGTTGTGAAAATTCAAAAGCTTTGCTGTTTTGAAAGTTGTTCAGTCCCAAATGGCAACGGCCCGAGCGTGGCCTAGAGATCTGCGACTCCATCTTTCGCGTCTTGTTACCGCATAGAAATAAATATAAAATCGCGCTCCGCACTTTGGTGAAGGTCAGACAAAAGTAGACCACGTGTTGGCGGTGGATATTGTTGACTAGCTGCCTTCTCTCTAGTATATCAGTTAAAAATTACGGACGGTTAGCACGGATAGCCATTGAGTAGTTTAGCGCAGATATCCGAAAACAAAGGGCAGGTGCGTATTACTGAGATATAAATTCATGAAATTATTCTTTCGTGCACCCTCGAACATCATTCTATGCGTGCTTAGATACAATAAATTATAGCAATTCCGTTTTCTTTGTAGATGAATTTTGTGGACTTTGTACTACTATAGTGGATTACGGATAGCTGAAAGTAGATAATTCGTTTCTACGGCAACCATACAGTTACAAATCTATAACATTCAACAATACACAGGGGAAAATCTGCTGACAAAATGTTTCCTACATATACTTTGATAATTAAACCACAATGACATAACCACCATAGAAACGTATATTTTAAGCCTGCTTCACTGGTTTTAATAGGTTTTGTTAGCCGTTAAAAACAAAGCTACACAATGGGTTATTTGTGCTCTGCCCACCGCGGGTATTGAAAATCGATTTTTATCGTTATAAGCCCTCGGGCTTACCGCTGAGCCACCAGGGGTGTTTTAAGAGAAGCTGTTCTAATTGCCAATAATAAATCTAAGATTCTGTGATGCCATCTAAACAAAAAACAAAACATATTAATGTACGAAGATTAAAGCAATTTCAGTGGAAGGTACAGTTAATAAAACTTTACAAACATAAAACATATTTAACAGAACCTTAACTAAAGAATTACCTTAAATTATTTAGTAGCATTTAAATTATCCAGTACTCTAATGCAATGAACTGGTGTCACACTTTTGATCAGGGTTCGAAACTAGGAGAGTACTCAGGCAAGTGTTTTCTTGAAACGTGATACTCTGCCATTCGCAACTTAATATTCGTGATTAACCGAAAGTAAATCAAAAGAATTATACATTAATACTAAATATAAAATCATAATAATTACGGTAAAAATGTTGTTCTTTGTATACGAGATATTTTCTATTCGTTAACGTGGAAATAAATGGTGTAATAATATTTAATTACGAAAAGGCTTACAGTTAACGTTTAAGTCTATTCATATTTTCTATTTTGATCCCTATCCGTTCATCACCACAATATATTACAAACTGATTTCGAGAGACGTTTAGTAGGAAAGAAAAATTAAGATCAATTTTCATGTCCACTGGATGAGATTTATTTAGAAATATTAACATTTCATTATGATCCACAAAAACTCTCAAACATTCACAATTCCGACAGCAAAAACAACAGCAAAGATTTTTAATAACTCTGAATGAGTAACTATAAACCTCCAGTACTTGAGATGTAAAAAAATATTTCGCCCTTTTGCTTTTATATTAGCCCCCAGTGGCACAGCGGTATGTCTGCGGACTTACAACGCTAGAAACCGGGTTTCGATACCCGTGGTGGGCAGTGCACGGATAGCTTTGTGCTTAATTTCAAACAAAATCAAACAAACTATTTTATGTTATCGAGTAAATCTGTAAAAAAACTTAAGGTGACACCATGCCGTGAAAATGTATACAACTGACAGAGTAAAAAAAAAGCTTAGATCAAAGCATGCACCTGGAACTGTTGGTGAGAGGAACATCTTTGTTGCGAAAAAACCACTGTACAGCCACAGCATTCTTATACACACAGTCAAAGACGGCAGAGTCGTCCTTCTTGGCAGTGATGTCTTGAGGGAGTTTCAGGATTTGAGGCGCATCTTTATCTGCAAATTATTGGTATTAGTTTCATATTCAACACTGGATGACCGTAACCACTACTCTTAACAACATTTATGATTTATTTGTTCTTTTGATAACTTATAGTCATGCAAAAAAAAACAACAAAAAAACAATCAAAACCACAAAAACTACAAGGTGTCCCAAAAAGTCTGAAACTATAGACACTTTAGTGAATTTTACAGACGTGTTCCACATGCTGTCCTTCTAATACATAATAAGTTTGGATTAATAGCAAGATTAGCTCGACTTTCTCATGCTTTGACAGCGCCATAATCAGTCACGTGTCTGGAAATAAAAAAGTAACAAATGACCTGTGGTTTCAGACATTTTGGACACCCTGTATGTATGAATTTACTTAACAGAAGATGCCTCTGTAAACTTGTATTAAATCCAGCTGATTTCAGCAGGGTTCGAATATAATCCACTTAACAGTGACTCGTGAAATAATACATATATATTATCCTACATATAATCTTTAAATGATAAAACATTATATTGTCTCGTTGACAAAGATTATCAATACAACCCACAGAAGCTGCTCTAACTTTATGTTCTTAAATGGTAGAAAGTACTTTATTCCTTTAATTAGAACCTTTACATAACATATCGACGACAGGGCAGTTCCTACATTATCAAATATATAAAACATAAACCACAAATTGATACTTAGATCAGCAGATGAAACTAAACATTGATATTCCCCTGTTCCCCAGTATTATAACTCAAGCATGTTCTGTAGGCTCGCTCAGAGACCCCAGCTCAGAGGAGGTCTGGGTCCCCGACCAACTGTGGAAAAATAGTTATCTCAACGAGATTCGTGAAGTAGTGGTATTAACAATCAGAGATAGTACAACATACATTCACTCATTCATGTTTTACAATGATGATTAGGCTCTCTCAGCCTCTCTATTAATGGGGCGGGTACGATGATTTGTTTAATTAATTATATTTGGTGTTAGATTATCAGATCAAGAAGATAAAACCTTTGCACTGTCAATGGCGCTTGTGTTTTTTGCCGAGAAAGATTTAACTCTTTTTTTTTTCCGGATACAAAGATGTTCTCATATTTACAGGTTGTACATGACATAATGTGTATAGCTTAAAGAACCGCGGAGTAAAATTACCATTGTGCGAAGGGCCTTAAAATTCTTTTATCCCGCTCTCATTTTGATGTAGTATCTCTTTCACACCTGAACAGACTACTTCACTCTCTTTTATTATAAAATACATCTGCTTTAAGTTGTTTTGTTTGTGGTAATCTAGAACAGTGTTTCCCAAAGTGGGAGGCGCGGCCCCCCCTGGGGGCCGTGACGCTTTTTCTGGGGGGCCGCCAAAATGGCCCGAAAACAAAGATGCTGAATTAATTTTAATTCTAAATAAACAACAAGTCAATAAAAATTATGTTGAATTAATTAAATGATAGAGTATGTCGAAAGGAGATATTATTTTTATTACGGCACTGTTTTTCAATCACCATGCTAAAGTTATAGGATATAGGGGGCCTCAAACATTTTTATTCATATCAAGGGAGTCTCAGACTAAAAGAGTTTGGAAAAAACTGACCTAGAAAACATTTTAAGACTTACTTTTTAAACGGAGAGCAAAGTTGTTAGCGCTTGTGACAACGCCAGCTTTGTTAACTCCGCGACAAGAATAAATCCCATTGTCTTGAAGGGTCAGTTTATCAATCTGAAGTCGTCTGTGGCGGATGGATATTCTGTTGTTCCTGAAGATCTTGTTACCATTGTGGAACCACACGTAGCTGATGTTAGAGCTCCCTTCAGCTTTACATCGAAGTACCATCTCTCCCCCAAGAACCAATTCCTCTTCCTTCGGAGGACTGTGAAGCTGTATTTCAGCCATATCACTGATCCCTACACATGAAATAGTGGAAAATTTTGAGGCTTCGCTCTTCACCACATGATAATCCACTCGGAATGAAAGTTATTTACAACTACTATATTATCTATTTCTGTGATTATAAAACTCAGAAAACCGTTAATTTATCTGATGCAGGTTAGTCACTGTAAATCTTAATTTCTTCGATTGGCTGTCATTATTAGTAATTATAGGCGTAGGTACGAAATTATAGTATATAGAACTTAAATTCTCAACACATTAGATACATGTATACTTCATATAATTATAAACTCGGATAAATCTCTAATTCTTTAATGATACACAAACGAAATATTTGAACCTAAAATTTGTAACAAACATTAATATTTACTTTAAAAAGATTCAAAAATCTCATATTAAGAACCCCATACTTGGCTACTTTTATGCAATTATTCCTATTTTTAATCTAATTTTTGTTAACAAGAAATGGTTTATATATCTTGATGTCTCCCTGCGGGTCAGCGGGGGTTTTACGGGCTTGCAAAGCTAAAATCCTGGGTTCGATTCCCGCGGTGGACAGAGCTCAAATAACCCATAGTGTAGCTTCATGCTTAAACAAACACAACTTATCTTACTATTTAATTTTACAATAGTGATAGTCCTAAAGTTTTTGATTTGGAGTTCTATCTTGTATTTTGGATATAACTTTGAGACTAAAAGAATTATTGGTATTTCATTAAGAATAAAAGAAAAATTAATACAAACTTTACATACATGTCATAATAAGTACCTTAGATACGTACAAAAAATGTATAATGTTTGGAAGTATCAATTGATTTATTTTTCAAAATTCATGCACTAAATTATTGAAATTTGGCCAAAGGTCGCTATAACAATTACAATAACAATGGTATGTTCACGAACCTTTTGATAGTGTTGTATAAACCCGAATACAACGAACACTAAGAAACATGACGCATGAAAGGGTGTAAATTTAACACCGTACATAGCCTGTGTAAAGACAGGTAAAAATCTTATTTGTGCATCACTAAAGAAATATATATATATATATATATAACAGTCTCCTGGCGAGACAGCGGTAAATCTACAGACTTATAACGCTAAAAACAGGGGTTCTATTCTTCCGAGGTAGACACCGTAGACAGCCCCGTGGCTAGAAATATATATATATATATATAACACAATAATGCCTCATATCTACAGACTTATAACGCTAAAAACCGGGGTTCTATTCCCCCGCGGTTGATACCGTAGACAGCCCCGTGGCTAGAAATATATATATATAAAACACAAGAATGCCTCATATCTACAGACTTACAACGCTAAAATCCGGGGTTCGATTCCACGCGGTGGACACCGTAGTTAGCCCAATGTGGTAAAAAAAAAGACAAATATATAACACAATAATGCCTCATATTGATTTTTTCATGAACTTGTATGTTTTTTGTTCGTTTTCTTTCTTTTTTTTTCCAGTTATTACTAATTCACTCGACATTGATGACACACAGTGACCGTTACATGAAGAAGCTAGAGCTACACCTAATCCCCTTATACGTGGAAGAAACAAAGAAACAGAACATTTCAGGCCGTGACTCACTGCACTGTTTCATCGGGTATTGGGTTACTAAGATACAGAGTATAAGCAACGTGCACTCGCTCCCACTCCCACCCTCTTCTTCCCCAGTTGTCAGGACATACGACGCCTCCGAGGGACCTCCTTTTTGTAAATTCACGATGAACAGTAAATTATTTGTGTGCTGATCCCGACACACTGCAATCTACATGCGAAAAGCTGGTTAAACCTCGTGCTCCTACGCCCGCCATTAGTGTTACTGACAAAACAGACATGGTGATCACCTTCGCGGGAAAAGCCTCGTACATACCTGCAAGTTATATACGAACGTATCGAGGACCTTTGCTCATTAACAGCAAGACTTTCTGAAAGCACCATCATTACTACAGCTGGAAGAGGAATAACCGTACCTACAACATGAAGAGTTAACGTTTACCCGATATATTAACCTGTTAAAACATATGATGTAAAGTGTATAACTTTCGGCTTAAGAGATAAAAACAGAATGTCAGAGAAGTACCGTATTTTTCGGAATATAAGACGCAGCGGTGTATAAGACAAAGTTTTGGGGGAAAAAAAGGCTACAGTCGCATTTGAAATATTTTTATTGAACAAAAAT